TCCCTTTTGAAGACGTCCAGGTACGAAATACAGTTGTCGCCATATTTATTACAACGTTTCATCCTTGAGGACACATGGCACAGTGGATAAAGGCGTTAGTTAGATCCAGTGACAGGGCCAAAAATGTGTGAGTTCAATTCCCGGTTAAGATAGTGGAGAACTTTCAGAGGGAAATTAACAGAAGATAACTGATAACTGACATCCATTAAACATGGCACGTGGAACTAGAACAGTCTACACCAGTGAGAGAAATAAAGGGTTCAGTTCGACATTCCAACCACCTGAAGAATGCCGGAGCGTACAATGGCCGAAACGTTGTAATAAATATGGTGACAAAGATGAGGACAATAGTCCGAATAATGGAAATAATGTGAATAAAGATGCTATATTAAACAAATTCAACAGCTTTTATACGGTATGGAGGAATTAGCAACAAAACAAAAAAAAAAAACAAAACACATTAATAATGAGCTGAAAGAAAAAAGAACAATCAGGAAAACAATAGATAGCGATTGACATTGCATTTACATTTTTGCAGATTAAAGTTGGCTGGAAAGCATGGAGCCGGAAAGGAGTTCCACATGCGAGAAGTGCGAAAAAAACTGTTTGCATAGAATTTCCGGTTGCATCTTGCCAGCTCAACTGTAAATTGATGAGATCTCTACGCTAGTCTAGTACTGTGCTTAAATTAAAAAATTCTAGGTAACAAAGCGAATAGCTCATCCGAACAATTACCCTGAAAGTATTTATTGAATATACACAGAGAGGCGACCTTACGGCGATGGGGAAGTGACTGAAACCGAGCCGCCAGATCAGGACCAATAATATTGCTGATTGGTTTTTATCAAGAAGCTCAAGGTAAATAGCAAGGGCAACAGACTATATGTGGCAGCAATATTCTAAGCCTGAACGAAGTGTAGAATTATATATATGTATGATAGATTTGGAAGAGAAAAATTGTCGCGCACGACAGAGTGAACAGATTTTCTTAGCAGCTGGCCTAGCAATGGATTTAATATAGTATTTCCACTTTATGTCAGCTGAGAAGATTAGCCCTAGAAGGCGCAACGAGTCGCTCTCCGGGAGGTTAGCATCAGTTATGCTGATGGAAGGCAGAGAGAGGTCTCTCAGATGATTAATAGAGAGAAGGTTAGTTTTGGCAGTTGACAAGTCATCTTTTGCCGCCGTTAACGACGGACTTGTCGTCGTTTTGGACATCGGTTGCTATTTTCACCTTGTCGGACTAATTAGCTTTATTATCAAGGCAGGAATAAATGCTTGTATCATTAGCGTCGAACTTTTGAGCCATATTAGTAAGACTGAAGAATATATCATCTGAATTGTTTGCATAAAAATAATAACGATAAAAATTTGAATATTGCACTGAGTGATATCTAATGACAGCCAGAAGGAAGAACTATTTGAGAGGGACGAAAGAATCTATCAGCTAAAATCTTGTGCTACAAACAACAAAATAAAGGTTTCTCTCTCTTCGTTCTTTTGGTCAATGAGCCATAGCCTTTTAGGACTTGAACCATTTTGGTTCTCTTTGGCTTCCTGTCTTTCAGCAATAACATCACTTTTATAACTCTTCTGGCTTTGTGATATTTTTTTTCATTCATTTTCTCAAACATGTTATGCTGGTCACTCAATGCTTTTCTCTGCCTCTCCGGTGTGCCATGTGAGTATTAAATTCTCTGAGCTTTCTTTTCCCATTATATTTTCTTTTTGTGTGCCGTGACATTTCAGGACGTAGGCGGTCATGGCTCTCCACTTCTCCCTATCCCTTGTAGCTCTCAATAGGTTTCGTGCCTCTGCCAACTCCCCTAGACCACGTTTCGCCATCCACCCACCCAAACCCGCCAGGTATGTCATCTGTTGCCTTCTCTTGTTTCTTTTCCCCTCTATTCGACCTGTGAGCATTTCAATGGTTTCTTGCTGAATTTTAGCAATCGTTCATATTCTTAAAACTTTTTCACATCGCGTCTGTCTCTGGTATTCTCAAGATTTGTCAGCAGAACAACATCTCTGTCTTTTTTTTTTTTAATCAATTCACCCCAAGTAAGGTGATAATGACACTAAGACGCAAGGGGTTACTGGGAGTGAAAGAATGGAACGAGGGATAAACCACTACTCCTGTTCAAAAGACTGTGGATGAGTGTGAACCGGACGAAAGGTGAATCTGTCTTTTTTTTGTGACGAAATTGACCCGCATTAATTTTTATATATGTGTGTAGACATTACATTGCAGTCCATCAATATTTTATTTGTTTCTAATATTATTTTTACGATCCTTTAATATTTTGTTCGTTTTCAGAAAAGCATTTTTCTCTAGTTGTCCCTGACGTGTTTGAAAGAATAATGGAAATACTGTATCTTAGAACCTTAGACAGTGTTACAAAAACGGAAGAAGTTGTCGAAACAGTATGATAAAGGAAGACTATGAATTTAGAAAGTGTGTGGAATGAAGACAGAAGTCTATATTTTAGAACTTACTGAAAGAACCTGCTTATGATTGTTTCGTTTTCTACGGTTTATCAACCGATTTCTGGTTATTTAACCATTTGAGCCTTGACACACCGCTTTATCGGTGGTAGAGAAAATGACTTAATGCCCAGCCACCGGTTGAACGGTGGTTAAACACTTGCGTAGTGTTTTGCTATTCTTGTGCATCAAGAGAGACAACACCTGCTGGGGAAGACTGGCACACAAAGAAAGAGTTCCGGCGATAAAGTGAATACATGCAATTATACTCTCTCTCTGCTATGTATAATGCTTCTATTTTTGTAACTATTTTTATATCTACCGTGAAACATTACATACTAATTATTTGCGAATTTTGACTCAGGAGCTCATGCAGAAAGGTTAAAATTGTTCAGGAACACAGGGGTCAAAGGGTTAATTTCTCAGAATTTCTCGCTTTTAATTACAAGGATGATTCCCATTTTGCCAGAACCTTGTTTAAGGGAATATCATTGGTCACAGACAGGTTTAACTTGACAAACTTTTTCCAAAACTGACCTTTAATCAAATGGAATTTAGTCTGCCATAATTCAGTCCTGAGTATGACGATAAACTACAGCCGGCGGCAAGGCCTCTGACCTGGTGATTGGAGGTTTTGTGGAGCGTGGAACGACATTTTAATTTCTATTGACCCAAGATCCAGTCTGACCTGTGGTTGTAGCACCTGTTAGGATTCCAGGCATACAATTGCGTTCAAAATATAGGGCATCCAGTGAGAATCGAACTCAGACTAGCTTGCTAAATATTACTCCTTGCCAAGAATCCCGTAACCATTTGAGCCCTGACTACCGCTTTACTGATGGTAGAAAAATGTCGTAAGGCCCAGCCACTGGTTGAACAGTGGTAGAAAAAAATGACTTAACCCTTTGTCCTGAGCACCGCTTTACCGGCAGTAGAGAAATATGATGCAATGCTCAGCCACCGATTGAACAGTGGTAGAGAAAAATGACTTAATGCCCAGCTACGAGTTGAACACTATTTATATCTACCGTGAAACATTACATATGAATTATTTGCGAATTTTGACTCAGAAGTTTAGGCAGAATTGTTAAAATTGTTCAGAAACTCAAGGCTCAAAGAGTTAATGCCAGGAAATATTTTTCAAATTGTAAAAATCTTTTTCTAGATAATAATGCTTTAATGGCACGAGTCTTGCTATTTAACCCATTGATGGGGAGAAGGGGTGAATTTATACCATTTCTAAAGATATTTGTGTGTAAGGAAATATGACGAACCCGACTAGAATAGGAACTCAGTTTTCCGATTAACAATTCCAATCCATTATCCATTACAACACCCGCACATCCCATTTTACAGCATCTGATATGTCCAAGCGAAATGATCTACCATTTTAAACTATTCCGCTTTTTTTTTTTTTTTTCGTTCATTCAATTTGGATAAAACAAAATGAACTATTTTTTTTCAGGAGGCGGCAACAACGGCCCATTGCTTAGAAGAATGCAACAAACATTATTGTTTAAATGTCTATTAGTTGTATGTTGTTCAAAATGTACCACCGTATTTCCGGCTTACGCTGCGGCTTGGAAGACGCATCTTAATATTGAAAAAAATTCTAAGAAAAAAACTCATTCTCATACAACAACACATTCAGCATGTGTCCCTCACATACTGGCGCCATGTATTGTTTACATTAATCACTCGTCTGATTTTGTTTGTATGGCAATGGCATACTAGTCAAGTACAGAAAGGCTCCCGCCGCTGTTAGTAAACAGAACATGTTTAAGCTTGTGGCTCGGCTCCAGGAAGGTTATAGTCTTGGAAATACTTGTAACAGCTAAGTACTGAGGCTACATCATATAAAAGGTCGAATTAAATAGCTAACATTATAGTGTAATGACTCAACATAAACTTCACGTTCTTATCAGTCAAGCCAATTAGGTAACCATCCAAGCTTACTTCAACCTTGTCGTTGCCTTAAATTCGTTTTGGAAGACGTACATGTATTTTTCAGGGTAATTTTTATGAAAAAAAAGTGCGCCTTGTAAGCCGAAAAATACGGTAATCTATTCAGAATAGGAAGAAAGGGAACAAATATGGCAACCATATGAACCTTTATGAAAAAAATAAATACTCACCTCAGCTCTATTTTCAAATCTCCGCAAATATACCCCCACGCTAAAGACTACATTAGGATATGGTATTTGTAAAATCCTTGGTACCTATGTTGCAGTATAAGCCTCTTTTGTCAATTTTCTTGCACACCGAATTACCCCAGAGTGGTCCAACCCTCCGAAACACTCATACCGTGGCCAGAGATGCCGCTAACATTAGAAACATAGGTATTCTATCGCTAAACATCTTTTATAACATTACGAATTTCTTTCGGGGTTGGAGATGAGGAAGGCGCCCGGAGGCCAGTTGAATGAGGGCGAGGAGCTGTACGGTGGGAATTTATTGATGCTGGGAAAAGCAAGAAGGCCAGTACGCCATAATTCCGCAGGATCACGCGATAAGAA